GATCTATATAGGTCAGGTGTAGGCTTCCTGGGTTTCTTATAGGAAGTTTTCCATGTTACCTGCCATTCCCTGCCTTGGTGATACCCATAGCACCTCCCAATCTACAGCCAAAGTAAAAGGGCACTCCCAAACTGCTTCCTGTTTCTGTGCTTAATTACTCCAGACATCCCAAAAGGGATATTTGGCAGAATTTAATCCTTAACACAGTCATGCAGTGTCTCTAGTGATAAATGGTCTGAGTTCTCTGTGGTTCTTTTCACATTCACAGAAAACAAAGCAGGTAGACCAGATGTTTTCTAAAGATCCTTCCACCTTCAACTCAGCAACCTGAACAGTAGCTTTCTAGTAAAACTGCTAGAGAAAGGAGGAGGCATCATGCATGTCATCCTGGGGACATGTATGGAACAGAGAAATCAGTCTTTTAAGATGAACTGCCAGTGTGACCTTCTTTGAACACAGCCAAGCTGTAGCTTTCAAGAAGTAAATGTGTTTGTGTTGATCAATAGAAGTAATGCACAGAGCACTTCAAAGTGTTTTGAAGATTAAAAACCTACAAAAAAGTCAGTATTGACATTAGGAGAAGCAAAAGGAGGACCCTTAAGAAGCAATTTCTCAGACACTGAATTTTAAATTTCAACTTGAAATAACACAACAAAAATTTATACTCAGCTAATTCCAACACCTGCTATTTGCAAAAGGTAAGATACAGATTTGTCAACAGAGGAGGTCATGGGTGAGTAACTGATGAGAATGAAGTTCATTTTAGGAACTGGCAGGATTGCTCAGTGGGTAACATCTCATGCTTCACAAATCGGAACCAATCATGAAAGAATAGGACTCCTGAAATGTGTTCTCTGATCTCTATTGGAAGGAAAGAACCAACTCCCAAAAGTTATCCTCGCACTTCCACACACAAGCCAACACGTGCACACAGACATGTGTGTGTACTCACATGCTTGCAAACGCACACACACTTCATACACTGAAACACAGTAATAATTTTTAGATTAAATTTAAAAATAAAAAGGAAGGACATTTTGAAAATTCTTATTGGTTTGTCAGACAAATTTTGCTGAGAAACGTTTTATGTGTGTGTGTGTGTATTAAGATATGTATTTTTTTTTCCAGTAGATCCTCGGAGTATTCCCAGCTTCTTATCTATGCCATAGTCCTGCCCCAAGAGGCTGTGCTACTGTAATAGGAACTCAGTCTCCAAGGTTACATTTTCTCAATGACACCGAGAATGGAATCAGTAAGAGATGCCCAAACATTTTCCAACATTTCATTCTAAAAGATGAATTCAAGGAAATTCAGTCAAAACATTTGTTAGTGTTTTTTAATTATTTCATATCAAAGACTCTACAGGACAGACAAAACAAGACTGCTGAATTGACATACTGGTGTCCTCTAAATTTTATGACATGTATAAAATCGTATGACTCTGTTAGAGATGAAATGTGAAATTTAACTCTTTTATATTTATATTTGACAGGATCCTTTTAAACTCCTGACCTCAGTATACATAGTCTGTTTTTTGTGCCATTTACATTCAATACACAGGAGCTCAGGATTAAGTGCTATCTCCACTCTGTGCTAGTAAGGACCACCAATCACACCACTGACCCCATACCTAACAGCAAGATCACCTCTAACTCCAAGAAAAAGATTAATTTTCTTGGAAATTGCAAGGTACACCATTTTAAGGAAACAGGTGGCACACTCAGGCTGAAGATTTTCAAGCTCTCTTTCAGTCTATTTCTATAAGAAAAATATAATAGATGTATCATATAAATACATATTATATGTGTATATATGATTCCAGGATTTCTTCCCATTCCAGAAGAAACCAACAGAGGCAAACTTTTCTATTATAATTATTCAATTATTCATCTTAAGAATAGAGTAGAATTTTAAAATAAAGTTAATAGAATGCTATACACACACACACACACACACACACACACACACACACACACCACACCCATGGTTTTTGATTTAGCAATAAAATGTTCAAGGAAAACTATAGACCATATTGAAAAGTTTGACAATCTCTCCTTTGATTTTTGGAGCACTTATCATCTGTATGAATCGTTTGGGATAAGTTATTTTTCCTGTGTGTATTTCCTGACATACTTGGAAAGTGGGCGATAGAAGGAAACCCACTGTGTTGCTAAGCCCATACCTTGACATAACCTGATATATTAATCATTGACATACACACTTGCAGGAAGAAACCTAATGAAACACACTTAAAATCTTTATTCATTGATTTACAAAGTGTACAATATTTACATTTAGGCATTAATCCCATACTAACATGGATGTTGAAGAAAGTCTAAAAATAAATATGTAGAACATAGGTTAATATACACATCATGGCTCTTTGCATTTTAAGCCATCACCAATGGTGAGGTTTACTGTAACGTTTAAAGTGACAACAGTCACATGGGTAACTCGTCCTGGACCTTCTACATGAATGGTCCCTCCTTGGCCTCTTGAGGCTGGGGGTGGTGAGCAAATCCATATTCTTTTAAAAGAATTAAAAAGACACTTTGAAAGGCATTACGGATGTGTGCAGCACATGTGTACAATGGCTGCATTTACATCCCAGTCTGTACCCTTGAAAACCCAATCCCTGAAAACCAGCCAGGGAGGCTCTCGTGTGGTCAGTCCCTTGTCTCTTGTTCAGATTGCATGCAGACTTGGCAAATGTCAGCAGAATGTGACCATGCACCATAAAACAAAACAAAACAAAACAAAAATGGTACTTGTAGACATGTACAACATCAAATTCTCACTGTCTTATAGCATCTTTAGATGCAAGGTCAACTATCTCCTCTCTTTACCAGAGGATAAATACGGAAGCTATAACTTTACTCCCCAAAGAAAAAGTGACAACTGGGGACACATGCAAATGTCATCCTGAGAAGCAGGATATGTTCTACATGATAAGATGGGGAAATTCCCATGAAGTCAGGCCTAAAGGTTTTCCTAGCTGAAAATTCCATCCCCCCCACCCCTGTTTTTTTTTCCAAACATGTCACATCTCACATAAACTAAATCTGAAGGAAAAGGCTTCATTTATCAAACTTCTTTGAGCCTTGGGACCTTCATTTGTACACATCAATATGTTCTGTTCTTACAGAATTGATGTAGGGTTATATGGCCTAACTATGTAAAGTGCTTAGGAAAGTGCCGGGCACGTAAGAGGTGCTTATTACAGGTCTTTCTCTCCTGCTCTCCCACTCACAGTTACAAGTAAGAAATTGATACACCTGCCAAACTCATCATTAAGGCTGTGTGATACAACTTCAATGATTTGCATCAGAGTTTCTGCCATCAGTTCAGATTTGGTCCCTGAGGGGGGGGGGGTCTCATTTGAGCTAAAGTTCCTTGTGCAGGGCAGATATATTTTAACATTATTGACCTCTTCAAGACATGGCTCCACCAAGTTCCCTGTGGACACACCCCACAGCCCTGCAAAGACAGTCATATCAGTGATGATCTCTACACTAACATTTCTTAGGCAACACTTCTGGGGAGGCAATGAGTCAAAGCCTTGAGGAAAATGCACAACTCCTGTTCGTAGCACAGTGACTTTCTCAGCATCAGTACGAAGATCACAGATAACTTCCCATGGACAGGAATGATGACAATCCCTACTGCTGTTGAAAGCAAGTATTCTAACTGATATTTTGATCAGAAAAAAAAGAAATAATTCTTTTGAAATATAGTTTTCAGTTTATACCATACAAAAATAAATGTCATTTAAAGAATTTACATGGGAGAAGAAAACAAACATAATTTCTCAGGTTAAAAAATACACGAAGGACAATGAAAACCTTTTCTTCTTCAAAAACAGTAGCTGAGAGAAAGAAAACCTACTACTTAAGCCACCATACTACTTACAATCCACCTTTTTCTCATCCTAGCACCTACGTGTTCTTATCTTATTGATCTAATGAGAAGTTAACTCAGAACTTTCTCTTTAAAGTCACTGTGGTTGTGGAAGGAGACAGCTCTTTGGCAGTAAATACTGTGGAAAGAAAGAATTTTGCTTAGCCTTTTCTGAGCCTTCAAAATGAGCTAAGACTAACCTCCACAGAGCTTCCTTTTATTCTGAAGTCCTCTGACTAGATCAGCTATATCTGAATAGAATGCAACACCTGGAGAAAATAATCCTATCCATTTAGCAACTTTTTAGATGTTACTGGTCCAGTTGGAATCCAGGAACTCGGGAAGCATAATTAGTTCCCGAGTCAAGGCCAATCTGTCCAGTTATAAGAAGGGATAACGTCATCTTGTGGATGCTAATTTCATCAAGTTGGAGGAGAGCTTTCTCTTTTCACTCCTACAAATACAACAAACTTTTATAATTGCCTTTTTTTATCTTCTACAAAGAGCAGAAGGAACATGTTTCCCAATGTTAAGATAAGAAGACTGGTGAAATTAAATTGAGCAAAGTTCTTTCAACTCTTTCGAGGACTCCATCAGAATCTCAAAGAAACTATTCCATTTACTTCGGATTTAACGTTTTAAACTTCTAAAGCTATAGGTGCAGGTGTGATTGCAATTAAGCCAATGGTTCTTTACTCTTTTCCTGAAAAGAATAAATATCTCCTGCATCCATAGCTTACTCCTCAGAGGGCCCAGGGCCTCCTGCAGCTCATGCATGGATTCTGAAGCAAGAACCCCAGACATTAATAAGTGCAGAACTCTTGCTTGGAGCAAACTCACAGGCTTGTGGTATAGAAATCAGGGTCTATACTGGGGGACAGGCTGACTCAGATGAGATTGTGGTTAGGCTGAAAATGAGAGCAGAGAAGCAATGTTTGCTCTTCGTGGTAATGGTAATGGCTGGCTTCGGTGACATCTGTCCGTGATGATGTCTGGGGGTGCTGTGGTTGCATTGTGCCACTACTGCCAAACCAATGACTCATGCATGACTATGGGCCATGGAGAAATCCACAGGGCTCATCTACATTTGGTGGAGAGGGTTGCTACAAGGTGAGTCCCAGCCACACCCACAAGCAGGACACAATCACTGACACACAGTGTGAATGCCCATTCGTCTGATTTATAGGTGATGTGGTGGCAAATGTGGCATCAGTTTCATTTCGAGGGAGCGGTAGATTACAGATATTTCCTTCACAGCAGGAGGTGCAGATCTAAAAGGAAAAAAGAAAACAAAAGGTGAGGAGAAACTGGCCTGTTTCAGAAAGAGGTCGAATACTGGGAGGAACAGTCTCCCTCCTGGCAAATGAGAACAGTCTTCTCTAGGAAAGGAACACTGTCTGACTTTCATGAAGGGCAAGAACAATATCCCATCTGGAAGCAACATGCTCAAAATGGAAAGGTCCAGCCCAAATTTCAGGGCCCCTCACCTGTAGCTGCGAGGCTTCCCAGTCCTCTGAGATACTGGTTTTTCTACCTCTGACATGGGGACTGTGAAACTTGCCTTCTTCCCTCCAATAAGCTCTTCCTGACAGCAGGAAGTCACTGTTAAGAGGGTAAAACTTCCTCTGAGATTTTCACAGTGAGGATGAAGTGGCAATGCCTTGGGTCCTGTGAAACTCAACGCTCACCTTCATTAGAACTACAGCTATGGTTAACTCCATTCTCCTGCATGGGAAACATTAGAAGGGTTCTCATTTGTTCAATTACCCTTGCTTTCTACTGCTTTACTCTTGAACTGTATAAAAGAAGTGAACCTAATGGTTTATTGACAGAAGTTATTTTGGGCCATGGCTACACACTGTATTGACCAGCAGCCTCAAGACCAGTTGGGGCTTATTGACAATGCAGAATCTTACACCTTACCCAGCACTTGGGGAACTAGAATCTTAATTTTAACAAGATCCTCAATGAATCAGACTCATAAGGTGGTTATTAGCCAATCTAATTACTAGTCAGGACAGATTTAAACATTTAGCCACGATCAACGTGAGTCCCGAAATAGCATAGCACAGAGAGACGAGACCCGAAGGGTCAAAGATGAGTTTGACTTTCAACCCATCTCTCTCTTACTAGCTGTACTGACTCAAGCAACTGAGACATCTTTGGATTTTCAGTGCTTCTCTTGGTTTAAAAAAAAATCACACTAATGCTTTCGAGCTGAGCCCAGCTGCTGGAAGGGTTAGCCAACAACCTTGGTTTGGCCTTTCTTTGAAGTAGTAACAAGTAGGCAGATGACATTTTAAAATTTAATTCTTAGTGGACTTGAGAAGTTGTTTAAGAATTGTTTCTGCAGCTTAAAAATTGAAAGCATCCCCAGGTGACAGTGCTGTTCCAGGGTATTGAAGAGAGGGAGTTTCCCTCAACCCTAGGGAAGTGGCCTGACAGGTGGGCAGATGTCACATAAAGGCCAAAGAGTGACAAAACCATCCAGTCAGTGTGGGCCCACTGCTGGAACAGCAGGACTGCAGAGATATACAGTGATGGTGTCTTTATATTCTCCTTCTTAGATGCCCCCAAAGCTCATTTTATATAGAATGTTCTGTGTACAGGTACCAGCTGAAGTTTAAGGGGTACACATCCACAAGACAATGGCTTTCTTATCACCTATCAGATGACTCAGGTGCCAGTGGAGAAGTTCCTTAAACTGGGACCCCAATAACATCATGCATCCTCACTCTGCAGAAAGTTATCAGAATATACTGCTGCCTGCTTTCTTGGTTGGGTGACTTGGAGTGTCTGTCATGCTCTACCAAGATGTGTAGGAGTAGTCCCTGACCCTCTCCTTTCAGGGCTCTAAAGAGAGGCTTATGATAGTCTTCAGCATCCTCTTTGCATGTGCTTAGACACTCCATCTGCTTGTCATTTGCTCTGCTATACACTGGCATTCTTCTAAAGCAAACAGGAAAGCGGGCACATTTTCATGGCCGTGTAAAGACAGTGAGGCAGCCTAAGTAATCTTCTCATGAACACTGAAGAATCCGGTAAGGGCAGTGAGGGCTAATGTTTTCCCAGACCTTGTAGCCTTCATGCTCCGAGTCTCTGCAGCCTGTGGATAAGCACTCCTCCAGTGGGACACAACGCTTGGTGACAGAGATGCTGTTTCCTGTGACTTCCATGGTGTGCTGAGTGTAGCAGTATCTGGTGTCTGCCAAGAGAAAATAAGCCTTAATTGAGATGGAAAGTGCAAGCCCGGCCTGACTGAAAAGAACATAGCAGGGCTGTTTTCCTGGATGCCCCTGAAATTAATTTTACATGAATGCTCTAAATATATTCACCAGACAATGTTTACAGGGGCCAAATCATCAAATGGCTCAGACACCAATAAAGATGTTTTCTAGCCCAGGATCCCAATAATGAGATGAACTTTCACTTTTCAGAAAGTTATCAAAATAAGTTTGTTTCTTGCTCTCAGAAGAACGATCCTGAGAGTCTGCCATCCTCTACCAAGGTGACTCCCAGGAAGGTACGGCAGCACACAGGGTGGAAACAACCTCCATGCTAAGATCCACTTTGCCATGGCAGAGCAATGGCCTTCTGCAGAACACTGGTCTCTCTGCCCATCATAATCCCTTAAACCAAGACACAAAGGCATAACTGCCTTTCCACACACTTTGCCATTGATCTTATTTTTATCTTTAGGGGGTGAGTGCTTCAGAGGACAGCTGCTTCTGGTAGTGAGAGCCACAGGGATTATTTTCAAGCAGATTTGGAAGAGTGAGCTCAAAGAAAACTTGGGGTGTGTAACAACAGGCTTTCAGAAGATGGGAGATTATAGCTGGTGTGCATGTGTGATGTTATGCCCATATCACATCAGAAAAATTAGAAATGGATACATTTTGCTTGGTAAAAATGGTTCTCCACAAAAGAATGAACTTGGCCACGAAAATAGCCAGACTGAGACTGTTCAGAGACTGACCAACATGATAGGTCTCCAAATCTGGTGAACCATTTCTCCTACTCCGGTTTCCATGCCTCTCTGGTAGATGATGGCCACTATGGAAGTCTAGAATTCTTCTTTATCTTGAGGAGAAAACTTAAGGTTTCTTCCAGAATTCCAGAGAGATTTTAAGAAGTAAGAAAAATGGTATTGTCGATGTAATTATTTATGGCCTGCAGGCAGCATGCAGCAGAATGCTCCAGTCCCACCTCTATATCCCAAGAGAATGAATAATTCTTAGGAAGTGTCACTGAGCTGTTTTTCATCCATATCTTGGCTCTAACTCTGCAGGCTTTATACATTTGGGGTACTTAGTTGCTAATATGGAATTATGATCTTCTATGGTGTTATTTATTAAGCAATAAAACCTCCCCCATCAGATTCTGTCATGATTTTGGCATCTTTTAACCAAAGAGCTAATGTTCAAAGACGAAAGCCTAAGATATTAGGTCCCAAGAATGAGCTAATACAGACCACATTAAACCATCTGAAAAAATGCAGACTTGGGGAGGGGGGTGTTAAATGTCTTCCTAGACATGCTGACCTCACAGGTATGTAAAAATCACCTCTGAATCTGACCAATGGCATCTCCTTTCCCAGGGTGACACTGCTGCGGATGTTTATTCTCTCTCTGGAGTGCTGCTCCCACAATGCACTGGAATTGTTTCCTGGAGTCAGACTGAGGCAGTCTCCAGTCTGCTCAAGGTCCTGTGGAGTTCTCTGGGATTAGGCTAAGTGAGGTCATCTGGGGGTGAACACCTGGTAACCCCTCCACCTCCACCCTGTGCCCTCCATCCCTAAGCCCTAGCTTCTAGTTTAAGGTGGAGGTGATTGGCTATTGGATGAAGGGGAGGATGGTTTCTCATCTGCCTCTGTTTGGCAGACTTTAACAAACAAAGACCAGAGACCTAAGAGCTTACTTTGGCATCAGACGAAGGACATTTACGGCTGTGATGGGTATGTACACCTTTCCCACTCCCACTGCAACTTCAAATGTTGTAGAAAGCAATAAAAGCAGGAATGTTCTTATCTCCTGTTCCTGCATCACTCAGGCAACTTGGGCGGCTGCCAGAGGCTGTGCAGCTCAAAATGTAAATGCACACAGTTAACATCACACCCAGATGGAATAAGTAAATCATTATAGACTTCAGGCTGGGAAAACTAGGTTTGCCCCTCAAGTAATGAATGATGTTGTCTGAAATAAGCCTTAAGATAACAACTGGTGAAGTGGATACGACTGACTTCATTTTCTTCATATTTTTCTTGTTAATTTACTAATGGGAAGTTTATTCCTTCAAACTCAACTGATTGAAATATCCTTTTTTTTTTCTTTCAGGAAAATGTACAAAACCCTAGCATCTGATAAGTTAATTTTTGCCATTCCATGGTGAGGGAAGATCACTGAAAATCCTGGGAAAGAATTTTCTCTTAAATACCATCATGTGTGACTGATAAAACAAAGATATGTTAAGAACAGCTATCACCTCTCACAGGAGATACCTTAACTCTGAACAGCAGTTCCTCGCTCGGGGCATCCACTCCACTTTTTAACTTCCAAAGGCCCTAGGTGGGTCTTGAGTGAAATGCTAACGTAGAAAAAGGCTCTGCAGTTAAATATGGTTTTGAAATGCTCAAATAAAGCTGAAGTGGTTTCACCACTGCACCTTTTATGAGTGTCTTCGATATGTATGGTGATCTGTGATCTCCAAGGGTGTGCTGGGGTGAGCAGATGGAATTTCCCAAGCAGAACCAGGTGAGCCACGTGTGGCTTATCACTGAGCTAGAGCACTGATCAAAACTGGGTTTTAGCCACAGAGCATGGCTCTCCATGCATTCTGAATAATCCTGGGGTTGGTAATGAGGTTATATGAGAATCAAGCCTGCTGATAACTTCACACTAAAAGGATTTCAAAGGCTTTTATCTAAAAGATAAAAGATGGATTTGAACTTCTACCAGGTTAGTTTCAGCCTCTAAAATCTCATATTCTGAGACTGCATGGTATTCCCGGAGGTTGAGAAGCCAAACTCTTTAACTCATGGTAAAGTAAGAAATAGGAAAGACAGCTTAATCAATAGCTGGAAAATACAAAGTATAATTTTCACAACATACTCTGTCTCTGTCTCTCTGTCTGTCTCTCTGTCTGTCTCTGTCTCTCTGTCTGTCTCTCTGACACACACACACACACACACACACACACACACACACACACACACACAC